CCCACCTTTCTCTCCTCCAGCAACCCTATTTGTTTCCTATGCTTAAGAGTCTCTTATGGTTTGTCTCCCTCTCTGATTTCATCTTATTTTATTTTTCCCTCTCTTCCCCTATGATCCTCTTTTTGTTTCTTAAATTCCACATATCAGTGAGATCATATGATAATTGTCTTTCTCTGATTGACTTATTTCCCTTAGCATAATGCCTTCTAGTTCCATCCATGTTGTTGCACATGGCAAGATTTCTTTTTTTTTTTTTTTTTGATGGCTGGGTAGTATTCCATTGTATATAGATACCACATCTTCTTTATCCATTCATCTGTCGATGAACATCTGGGCTCTTTCCAGTTTAGCTATAGTGGACATTGCTGCTATAAACATTGGAATGTAGGAGCCCCTTCCATTCACTATATTTGTATCTTTGGGGTAAATACCCAGTAGTGGAATTGCTGGGGACCCTCCATACTGTTTTCCAGAGTGGCTGCACCAGCTTGCATTCCCACCAACAGTGCGGGAGGGTTCCCCTTTCTCCGCTCCCTCGCCAATATCTGTCATTTCCTGACTTGTTAATTTTAGCCATTCTGACTGGTGTGAGGTGGTCTCATTGTGGTTTTGATTTGTAGTTCCCTGATGCCGAGTGATGTTGAGCACTTTTTCATGTGTCTGTTGGCCATTTTGGATGTCCCTTTGGAAAAGTGTCTGTTCATGTCGTCTGCCCATTTCTTGATTGGATTATTGTTCTTTGGGTGTTGAGTTTGATAAGTTCTTTATAGATTTTAGATAGTAGCCCTTTATCTGTTATGTCATTTGCAGATATTTTCTCCTATTCTGTTGGTTGTCTTTTGGTTTTGTCGAATGTTTCCTTTGCTGTGCAAAAGCTTTTTATCTTGATGAAGTCCCAATAGTTCATTTTTGCCTGTTTCCCCAGCCTTTGGAGATGTGCCTAGCAAGAAGTTGCTGTGGCCAAGGTCGAAGAGGTTGCTGCCTGTGTTCTCCTCAAAGATTTTGATGGATTCCTGTCTCACATTGAGGTCTTTCATACATTTTGAGTCTATTTTTGTGTCTGGTGTAAGGAAATGGTCCAGTTTCATTCTTCTGCATGTGGCTGTCCAATTTTCCCAACAACATTTGTTGAAGAGACTGTCTTTTTTCTATTTGATATTCTTTCCTGCTTTGTGGAAGATTAGTTGACTATAGAGTTGAGGGTCCATTTCTGGGCTCTCTATTCTGTTCCATTGATCTATGTGTCTGTTTTTATGCCACTACCATACTGTCTTGATAATTATAGCTTTGTAATAGAGCTTGAAGTCCGGGGTTTTGATGCCACCAGCTTTGGTTTTCTTTTTCAACATTCCTTTGGCTATTCAGGGTCTTTTCTGGTTCCATACAAATTTTAGGATGATTTGTTCCAGCTCTGTGAAAAAAGTTGATGATATTTTGATAGGGATTGCATTGAATGTGTAGATTGCTCTAGGTAGCATAGACATTTTAACAATATTTGTTTTTCCAACCCATGAGCATGGAATGTCTTTCCATTTCTTTGTTTCATTTTCAATTTTCTTCGTCAATGTTTTATAGTCTTTGAAGTACAGGTCTTTCATTGCTTTCATTAAGTTTATTCCTAGGTATCTTATTATTTTTGATGTAGTTGCAAGCAGGATTGTTTTCTTGATTTCTCTGTCTGCTGCTTCATTATTGGTGTATAGAAATGCAATAGATTTCTATAGATTGATTTTGTATCCTGCAACTTGACTGAATATCATTTATCAGTTCTAGCAGTTTTTTGGTGGAGTTTTTAGGATTTTCTATACGTTGTATCAAATCGTCTGCAAATAGTGAAAGTTTTACTTCTTCCTTACCAATTTGGATGCCTTTTATTTCTTTGAATTGTCTGATTGCTGTGGCTAAGATTACAGTATATGTTGAATAAAAGTGGTGAGAGTGCACATCCTGTTTTGTTCCTGACATTAGAGGGAAAGATCTCAGTTTGTCCCCATTAAGGATGATTTTAGCTGTGAGTTTTTCATATATGGCCTCTACTATACTGAAGTATGTTCCCTCTAAATCTACTTTGTTGAGGGCTTTTATTACGAATGCGTATTGTACTTTGTCAAATACTTTTTTCTGCGTCTGTTGAAATGATCATATGGTTCTTATCCTTTCTCTTATTGGTATGATGTATCACGTTGATTAGTTTGTGAATACTGAACCATCCTTGTAACCTAGGAATAAATCCCACTTGTTCATGGTGAATGATTTTTTAAAATATATTGTTGGGGGCACCTGGGTGGCTCAGATGGTTAAGCGTCTGCCTTCGGCTCAGGTCATGATCCCAGGGTCCTGGGATTGAGTCCCACATCGGGCTCCCTGCTCCTTGGGAGCCTGCTTCTCCCTCTACCTCTCTCTCTCTGTTTCTGATGAATAAATAAATAAAATCTTAAAAAATATATATATATATTGTTGGATTCAGTTTGCTAGTGTTTTAAGGATTTTTACATCTATTTTCATCAGCGATATTGGCCTGTAGTTCTCTTTTTTTGTGGTGTCTTTATCTGATTTTGATATCAGGGTAATGCTGGCTTTATAGAATGAATTTGGAAGTTTTCTTATTGGAATAGTTTGAGAACAATAGGTATTAATTCTTCTTAAATGTTTGGTAGAATTCCCCTGTGAAGCCATCTGGTCTTGGACTTTTGTTTGTTTCGAGTTTTTGAATACTGACTCAATTTCTTTACTGGTTATCGGTCTGCTCAAATTTTCTATTTCTTTCTGTTTCAGTTTTTGTATTTATACGTTTCTAGGAATTTATCCATTTCTTCTAGGTTGTCTAATTTGTTGGCATATAGGTTTTCATAATATTCTCTTATAATTTTTTTTTAATTCTATGATGTTGGTTGTTATTTCTCCTAATTTGTGACTTTTTCTTGAGTCCTTTCTCTTTTTTTTCTTGATAAGTCTGGCTAGAAGTTTATCAATTTTATTGATTTTTTTTTTTCTCAAAGAACCAGCTCCTGGTTTTCATTGACCTGTTCTATTGTTTTATTCATTCTATATCATTTATTTCTGCTCTAATCTTTATTATTTCCTTCCTTTTGTTGGGTTTGGCTTTGTTTGTTCTTTTTCTAGCTCCTTTTGGTGTAAGGTTAGGTTATTTATTTGAGATTTTTCTTGCTTCTTGAGGTAGGCCTGTGTTGCTGTAAATTTCCTTCTTAAAACCACTTTTGCTGCATCCCAAAGACTTTGGACTATTTTGTTTTCATTTTCATGTAATTTTTGATTTCTTCTTTCATTTCTTGGTGGATCCATTCATTGTTTAATAGCACGTTATTTAACCTCCCTGTATTTGTGCTATTTCTAGATTTCTTATGGGTAATTTCTAATTTCATAGCATTGTGGTCAGAAAAAATGCATAGTATGACTTCAGTTTTTTTTTTTAAATACACTGAGATTTGTTTTGTGGCCTCATATGTGATCTATTCTGGAAAATGTTCCATGTGCATTTAAAAGAAATGTGTATTCTGCTGTTTTAGGATGGAATGTTCTGAATATATCTGTTAAATCCATCTGGTCCAGTGTGTCATTCAAGTCACTGTTTCCTTGTTGATTTTCTTTTTGGATGATTTGCCCATCAATGTAAGTGTGGTGTTAAAGTCCCCTACTATTATTGTGTTACTATCCATTATTTCCTTTATGCTTGTTATGAACTGTTTTATGTATTTGGGTGCTCCCATGTTGGGTGCATACAAATTTACAATTGTTATATTTTCTTGTTGGATTGTCCCTTTTATTATTATATAGTGTCGTTCTTGACACTGTATATATATTATCTGACACTATATATATATATATTATATATGACACTATATTATTTATAATCAAGAGATAATTCTTGATTTCAGTTGCATTTTAATAAATGTGGGCTTCAAAAGAAACACATTATTTTCTGTTTTAAAAATACTATCTTTTATTATTAGCCCAGATTAGCAAGATTTTAAACTATACTAATTATTGCCATATATTCTCACAGTAGTGTACATTTTCCTTTAGTGTATAAGATTCTCACAAATTTTGCATCCTCACTTTCATTCTTTTATTACCTGTTGAAGATAGTGGCTCTGTTCTCTCCCATATCTTCTGTGATATCTGTGTTGCTTAAAGTATATTCATTTTCTTGATACAGTTCTTGATATTTTTTATCAGTCTTTCAGAAGACTAAGTCTGTCTACTAATTTTTTTTTTAAGTTTTTATTTATTTAATCATGAGAGACAGAGAGAGAGAGGCCGAGGCAGAGGGAAAAGCAGGCTCCTCGCTGAGTAGTGAGCCCAATGCGGGACTCAATCCCAGGACCCCGGGATCATGACCTGAGTTGAAGGCAGACGCTTAGCCATCTGAGCCACCCAGGCACCCTATCTACTAAGTTTATTAACTTTGTCTAATTTTATGATAATTTGTTCCAAAGAAATTTGTATCTTAGATTTGTAAACCTTTGTTTGGGGTCAGGCAATTAAGAAATATTTACTGAGTACCAACTAGTACCAAAGCAAAGAGACATTATTAATTACTTGCTGTAAGCTCACTTTAAATTATTTCAGTCTAAGTTGTCTCTACAACTTTATATGTGCTATTCTCTATAAATAATAGATGTTGTTCCAAAATGTAAAACGCTGGGCTTCTGAGGATGAAAATATTTTATTAGCTAAACTTAATTGTTGTTTTCATTTCAACCAAATATTCTTAGAAGAAAAAAAAGGCTTTTGTTTTTTATTTCTTTAAGTATTTTTTCTGTTGTTCTGTAAGTTCTTTTACTTAATATATATTAATAAATGTTCTGCTGTTACATCAGAATTTTTAAAAAAGGAACAACTTCTGTGGCTAGCCATTAGTTCTGATAATATAGTCTCCACAGTTGAGGTTACTACATGATTTTATATATTTTGAATGCTTTTTCTCTGAAATCACTGGGACCCTATCTTATCTATCTTATATGATTTTCCTTTTATAGGTGGCTATGCACCATTCCTTTCTTTGGCTGCCAGAGAAAGTACTTTTACTGTTGCCTCTAACACTGAGAAAGCTGTTCCAGGGCCAGGACACTATAATGTTTCAGAAGCACAGGTAAATTTATAATAGTTTTTATAATTGTTGGAGTTAATAAGAATCATACTTTCTTACTCTCCTAGACTAATATGTCATTTGTCATATTTCATTTTCCCTTCATATCCTCTTTTTTCTCCTTTTAATCTATATTTTGTTATTAGAATATGAGAAAATAAAAGTGTTTATTGTTGATTGCCTGGTTGGATTTTCTCCGTTATTCTATCTATTCTATAAGACATAAAACATTGTTACATGCTTCATGGTTCTTGAGATTCTTGAATGGGAGAATAGGACTATTGAATGAATTACGGTGCATGAAAGTTGTGCAAATGATCAAGATATGTAGATGGAGGATGGCAATAGAGTGAAAATTAGTTTTTGTGCCATATTCTTAAGGTATGGCTACTCTCATTGTCTCATCTGGCTCCTATACAGTCTTGAGCGTCTATGACCAGAATATCTTTGATGATCCATTCATGTTCGGAAACAGTGGATGTAACTCCAATATCTTCATAATCATGAATATCATCTTTTACCCTTTTCTCATTAATTTTGCATTCATACATAATGACTCCTAATTGAACCTAGCAAATTTTTATTTCCTCTGTTGGAGATCCAGGGGTATTCATTGATGCCTTAATTGTTGCATTAGACTTTCTGAGTTGGTAATAGCAACCATTCTATCAGTTAGGAGTTTTTGCTTGGAAGCAATAAAATAGATTTTTAAGACAGATACTAGATTTACAATAATATTTATAGGAAAGGTATTTGGCTGGCTTATGGACTTGAAGCATTAATTGTATATTTAAGTCTTAAGGGCAGGACTAAGACAATTCCAGATATTTCAGTAGTAAGAACTGCAATCAGAACTGCCATTAGATAACTTAATTCTATAACTCCCTTACATTTTTTTTATGTGTGACTCCATTTAGGATTAAAATTCCTAGTAGGAAGAATCTGATTGGTCCATTCATTCCTGGGATAGGGAATCCTGTGTTTGGAAACTTCTGTAAAACCACAAAGTATAGGGGAGGTTTGATTGCCCCAATGGTGGTGAATATGCATGCTATTATGGGCAGATAATAGACAGGATGCTGGACAGATAAAAAACAATAGATTTCCATTACATTTTAACCCTTGACTGCCCAGTTCTATTCTCTCTCATGTGCACTACATTTACACATAATTCTTCTTCCCACATATACAATTTAAAAAATGCAATTATTTTATGTATAATTTTCAAGTATAACTTCCCTGAAGGAACCAAACTACTGCATTCAGAGATGATATTACAGTGTCACTACCAAATGGATCTTTAGATTAAGGCTGTTTCTGCTTTTGTTTTTTCACATCCCTGTTCCATTATTCTGCAGCCTGTAGATTAAATGGTAAGTAAATATAACACGAGATATTATAAAGAAGTGGTTAGTAGTATGGGCTCCTGAAGTAGACTACCTACATTTGAAATCTGTCTCTGCCACTTAACTAATTCAGACAGATTTCAAATGCAGGTTGACTTAATCTTTACTTAATCTCTTTGGGCTTTAGTTTCCTCATTTGTTAAATAGGCATACTAAGTTTGTAGGCTTTTTCTAAGAGTGAAATACATTAGTAAGCATTTTAGAATAGTGCTTGATTATAGGTAGCATCCAATAACTTTTATGCATTATTAGTGTTGCCATTTTACAATAGAAGAGGGAAAGAAAGAGAGGGGAAATGAAAGCAAGTGATGTAAGAAGCAAGGAAATGCAGAGGAGGCCCTGTTAGTTTTTGTAACTGCTCTGAAGCTATAGATAGTTTAAGACTTTTTCATTACTCATTCTGTGTTCCTTGTCTCTCTCTTTTATCTATCTATCTATCTATTTATTTATTTATTTATTTATAACTAGGGTTTTTTATTTCAAATAGAAGAGCACATTACAATTGAGAATATAAATGAAAATAAGAGAAAATAAATCTGTTAATCATTCTTCATTACTGCTGATACTGGATTATTCAGATTCAATAGGAATTTATAGATCTACCATATCCCTATCTCTTTAAAGGGACTTTATCTGGTGGAGTTTTCAACCTGATGTGGTGACCGGAATCTTTAGTTCTAAGGAGTCTGAGCTCTTCATTCGCAGGCTTCCTTCTCAAACCTTTAAATAAACTTGCCCTTACCATTTTCACTGGGCATTATAGTTCAAGGAAGCTCTGCAGGGTGTCTCGGTGTTCCATCCCACCGTGATGCTTGTGGCTATCCTTAGTCCTGTTTTTCAGTCCTGGTCAGGGTTAATCACCTCAGCCAATACACTCCTTATTTTACTTTCTAGCATACAGAGCCTGGGATGGCCAGTTGATGGTCTCAGCTTCCAACTCAGTGGAACGTTTATGGCTCTTCCCTGGGTTCTTAAAACTTCCAGCATACTAGTGCCTAGAGGGCAAAAAGCAAAAAATAGCAATGGGTCATTAGATGTCATCATTGGAAGTGTCACTCCTGCTTCCATGCCATGGCCAGTATATTATGGGCATATGGGCTTGCTAGCTCCACCAGTAGTTTTTTACTCAATTGCTGTTGACTTTTTTGGGTTGTTTTAGGCTAAATTCTTTTTTTTTTTTTAAGATTTTATTTATTTATTTGACAGAGGGAGACACAGCAAGAGAGGGAACACAAGCAGGGGGAGTGGATGAGAGAGAAGCAGGCTTCCCGCTGAGCAGGGAGCCCGATGTGGGGCTCCATCCTAGGACCCTGGGATCATGACCTGAGCCGAAGGCAGATGCCTAACGACTGAGCCACCCAGGCGCCCCTAGGCTAAATTCTTGTAGAACTTTTAGAATTTCAAGAAGTTTGAATTTATCACACTTTAAAAAATAAAGTCCATTATTATTTTATTTTTATTAATTTTTTTGTTTTTTTAATATAATTTAATTTTATTATGTTATGTAGTCACTGTACAAACATATTTCCTAATCCAGCCATTTAAAATAATAATGGATATATTTATAATGTGACATAGTTAGCATACTAATTCTGTAAATAATTAATATGCTGGATAATTAAAGGGATAATCTTATTGGAAATTAATGGAAGTATTTAACAATTTATTTATTTATTTATTTATTTATTTAAAATTTTTTTTTTTAAAGATTTTTATTTATTTATTTGAGAGAGAGAGAATGAGAGACAGAGAGCATGAGAGGGAGGAGAGTCAGAGGGAGAAGCAGACTCCCCGCCGAGCAGGGAGCCCGATGCGGGACTCGATCCCGGGACTCCAGGATCATGACCTGAGCCGAAGGCAGTCGCTTAACCAACTGAGCCACCCAGGTGCCCTAACAATTTATTTTTATACCTTTTTTTTGGAAGCATAGATTGAAATGTTCCTTTCTATTAGCAATTGCTTAGTAAATATTACCTGGAGACTTCAAATGAAATTTGAAAAGACTGAAAATGTGGTTGTAGTTGTGAGGGCCTGCCTCCACTGTATGTAATACTTGAAGCTCTTATAAAAGCAAAACATTTGGGAGTTGAAACTGTGTGCCCCAATTTAGTCTTCTCTATTTCTCTGTTTCTGTTATGGTTATCTAACTTTGTTTATGGTTGTCACCACTACTGCAATGTTGGGAGTGAGGATGGGAGTATTCTTTTTGCCTTTCCAGCTCTTGCCCAGTTATGGGCAAATTCACTTTTTCCTTTGTCTCCTCTAGCATATATGAAGCATGCTAATTTTTTTCAAAAGGAAGTTTTCTTAGAAAACAACATAAGGGAAATTAAGAAAATAGAAGACAGAAGAATGAAGTTTACAAAATGCAAGTTTATAATTCTCTGATAATTAGCTTATTTTTAAAAATTTTATTTATTTGAGATAGAGATAGTAAGAGAGAGAGCACGAGCAGGGAGGATAGGGAGAAGCAGACTCCCTGCAGAGCAGGGAGCCTGATGCGGGGCTCGGTCCCAGGACTCCAGGATCACGACTTGAGCCAAAGGCAGATGCCCAACCGACTGAGCCACTCAGGCACCCTAGATAATTAGCTTATTAAGTCACATACCTTATTTTGTTCATATCCTTTTTCCTAGAATGAATCCCCCTCTAAAGGGCCAGTTCAAATTTAATTTATGTTTTCTGGTTCTAATTCTCTTCTAGTTTGTGACCTGTCTCTGCTTGGGTGATACCATCTTGTTCCTTGCTATATAAGATTTAGATGTGGAGAGCTCCTCCCTGGTTCCAGCTAGACAGTTTTTTTCATATTTCTCACTAATGTCCAAATTAGGTTTTATTTTTGATCTGAGTGATACATTTCACTAGAGCTGTATGATGGGATATCATACCTGTTGCAGTGCATGGCCTCACCCTTCAGATGAGACTCTGCATTCTGTATTGTTGGGAGGTTGCTGGCAATATTCATCAAATAACCACAGCATATAGACAAAAGCACAGGACTCAAGAAGTAGGAAGGTTGTTTTCTCACAGGTTTTATATAAAATGTATAGTTACCTCATAATATAATTTTTGGGTCCTTTATCTGACACATTGTATTGTAGTTCTTTTTATAACCTCTTGTAAAATCAGTAGAATTGGTAATTATGAAATATGAATAATTGGAAAAGTCCTGGTTAATTTCTAATTTTACTTGGTTAAAAAATCAGATTAATTTTACTATCTTCTGTTGAAGTTCAATATAAATTCAAATTGCAGTGTGAAATGTAAGATCTTAGAGACTATAGGAATAGCTTTCAAAGAATCAGGATTTGAGGAGATATTCTCTTTTCACATGATTTTACTTTTTATCTAAATTGTAATGTTAATATTTTTGCAAAATCATTAAATTTTGTTATTGATCCAAACTCTTTAAACAGGAATTATGGTCTTATTTAAACAGTTATCAAGTAGTGGATTGGCTACCTAAGAATATAATTTTGACTCATTTTTTGAAAGATCTCTTTTGTGTATTTCTTAAAAGCTGAAAGCAGCTGAATAAGATGCAAAGTAGAGATAGACTCGGTTCATAGTGATCATGAACATCTGACATGTATATACCATGGGAAAAGTTCTGTTGGTAAATCAGTAACTTAAAAAATAATCTTATCTGGGGACACCTGGGTTAAGCATCTGCCTTCAGCTCAGGTCATGATCCTGGAGACCAGAGTCCTGGGACTGAGCCCTAGGTTGGGCTCCCTGCTCAGTGGGGAGTCTGCTTCTCCCTCTCCCTCCCCCTGCTCCTTTTTTCTCTCTCTCTCTCAAATAAAAAAAAAATGTTAAAAAAAAAAAACTTATCTGATCTATCAAATGCCAACCATTATTACTATGAATCATCTTTGAAATGATTACACTATGACTGTTAATTGAAACTAATAAGATGGAATTTTATCTGAATTTACTGGCTATTACCCTGTTGATAATTTTCTGATTCCAGAGAATCCAGATATGTGGCATGGAGAGCTATGGGAGATTCCTCCCAGTCCCTTCTCTGCATTAAACAATGTTTAAAATTAATCTGAGCATAAAACCAAGCTGTTAAAAAAAAATGAAGAATAAGCCAACCAACCAAATAAAAACCCATGCTGTTGCCAGTAAGCCTACATAAGCGTCCCTGGAAATGGCCAAAAAATAGTTCATGGGAATAATTAATCCTAAGCAAGCTTGGAAGGTTTGCTTTTTCCTTGCAGTGTGAGTACCAATATTTCTAGCTCATTTCAGAGGTACATATTCTCTTGAGGCCTGTAAGTGTATACTCTTTATTCTTGCTCTACAACTGGGGATTCCATTGTTTTGATTCCTGTTTTAAAACTGAGTTTTGCATTCTCTTAGAGTGTCCTAAGTACAGTAAGTTTTAGTTTGAGTTCAGAGTTAAAACTGATGACTATAATTGTCGTCCTCTCTTATTATCCCTTTATTAGAATGATGTCTTCAGTTAAGAGCCTTAACTTTCTCAGGTTGGGTTTTAAAACTTTCTTCATATTAATATATAATACTTACCAAATATGTATTAATTATAAAGTGCTTCTTTTAATTATTTCATATTTTTTCTCTCCAATTTAGTATAATATAAAAGGAGGTCATAGTCTACAAAACCGGGAGAAGCGTTTTAAGAAGTTTGTTTCAGATAGTCCAGGACCAGCAAGCTATGATCACTTTTATCCTGGAACATTAGATATCATGAATAGAAAAGCACTACAGGTTAAAGAGCATCTCCAATCAGTACGTTGGTATTTTAATTATGCTTCTGACATTTCTTTTAGTTAAAATAGAAAAGGTTTAATGTTTTATGTGGTGAGTACATTAAAAAAAACTTTACTATAAAAATTAGGTGTATTAGTATCCATATTGTAGTTTATAATTAAATGAATATTTGATGTTTATGAACTAGTTTTTTATTGTATTAACAACTGACTTCACTTTTGCTTTTAATAAATCTCCAATCACTTCCAATTTCTATGGTGAACAGAAAGGAAAGGAGATTTTAAAAACCACCTGAGTGGTCTACCTATATATATAGAGAAAACTCTGATACGTACTGTTAATAATACAGTGAAATTTAGGGGCGCCTGGGTGGCTCAGTCGTTAAGCGTCTGCCTTCAGCTCAGGTCATGATCCCAGGGTCATGGGATTGAGCCCTGCATCGGGCTCCCTGCTTGGCGGGAAGCCTGCTTCTCCCTCTCCCACTCTCCCTGCTTGTGTTCCCTCTCTCGCTGTGTCTCTCTCTGTCAAATAAATAAATAAAATCTTAAAAAAAAAAAATACAGTGAAATTTAAAACATGATTACTGAAATAAAAATTTTAAAATTTAGATGAGCGAGAGATATATAGATTGCTACTAATGCAAGATGAAATATGATAGGTGCCAAATGAATAACGATGTAATTAAATGCCATAGGAATTTTTAAATTAAATTAAATTAAATTTTTTTTAGAGAGAGCGAGGGGGGGACAAGGGAGAGGGAGAATCTCAAACAGGCTCCATGCCCAGCACAGAGCCCGAGGCAGGGCTCCATCCCATGACCCCAAGATCATGACTTGAGCCAAAATCAAGAGTTGGATGCTAAAGAGACTGAGCCACCCAAGCGCCCCAATGCCATAAGAATTTAAAGGAAGACTACTGTATCATGGCAAAGTATACTTTGTAGAGGATTTATAGAGGAGGTTGGCCTTGAAGAATAGGGTTGGAATATGCATTCCAGGCATGGAGAATTACATGAGTGAAGATAGCGAAGGAGGGTCCATGGAAGACAATGAGAAGATTATATTGACCCCAGTAAAAAATTTGTGTAGGAGACTAGCAGATGACATGTTTGGAAAGGAACATTTATGTTATATAATGAATGATTTTTATACCAAGGGCCTAGCCCTTTGAAATAAATAATCTGGAAGATTTTGGTCACAGTTTATTTAGAGTGGTTCTCTTTTCTTTTTCCATAACTCCTTCACATAGCTCATATTAATTACATTTTAATCAGCTTTGTTTAGGGGACATATTTTAGAGCTAAGTACTCAGTTGAATAATGTCAGTACAATGACAATGAAGTTAAGGTTTATAAGCGCATTTAAATATCAGCTATTTTGTGCGTGGGGATAAAGTAAATGTTCATTTATTTATGCAAGGATTTATCAGACTTTTTTTTAGAAGGAAACACTTGTTTTATTAGACATTAATCTTTTGCATTTTCTTAATGACACTGTGTGATATTTTCTTCTGAAAAGTAGTAAGTTATTGTTTTTTTTAAGACCTGTGAATGTTTTTTAATGGACACGTTAGGAATTTCTTCCTCCCCTTCTTCCCCTCCCCTCCCCTCATCCTTCCCTCATCCTTCCTTCCTTCCTTCCTTCCTTCCTTCCTTCCTTCCTTCCTTCCTTCCTTCCTTCCTTCCAGTTATAAAGTAAGTCATGGAGAGGAAAAGTACAGCATAGGGAATATAGTCAGTAACTTTGTATGGTGACAGATGGTAACTGCACTTGTTGTGGTGAGCATTGTGTAATGTATAGAATTGTCCATTTACTATGTTGTGCATTGGAAACTAATATCAGACATTTTTTCAGAGACACTTTATACTAGACATAATTCTAGGCACTGACAATACATAGAAAACAAATCACTGCTTCCCAGGATCTATAATTTTAATAGGGAAATTATGTAATTCAGTACAAAATAGTTGATGCAATGCTATTTTAATAAACATATATCATAATAAAATGTCTACTAGTAGCCCAAAGTAGAGAGTTTTTGGAGGGAATAGTGATATCACAATCAAACTGGATCTTAAAGAAGGATTCACTAAATAGTTAAAAAGAATGGGGAAAAACACTCCAGGCAGAGAAAACCATGTGAATAAAGACATTGAGGTATTTAATGTTATTGTATGTTTGGGGAAGAACAGAGTTCTTTAGAATATTTGGAGTATAGGATCTAAGGGAGGGTAGTAGGAATAGAGGGTGGAGAAGGAGGTAGGGACATATTTTGGAAAGTCTTGACATCATACAAATAATTTTTGAAAGTAGTGGGAGAAGCTATTCAGTACTTCTGCTTTAATTTGGTAATCACTATAATAAGTATCACTGAAACTACTTAATAGTGGTCTCTAATGATAAAAAAATAAAATTCTGCCAGTGATAGTATGTTTATAACATAATTGTCTATTGGGCATGCGTGCACTAAACTATAGCATTTATTTATTTATTCAGAAACAATAGAGGATCAATATATTCTTAAGTAATTTTCCAGATAACTAAATCATTTAAATGCCAGTATTTCATTTGCTAAATTTTGTACTAGTATTTCTACTATATGTTACTTCTTCTTGTTTTTATTTAAATTATAAAATATTTTATGCTAAAGGAAATTTTGAAAAAATGATAATCTCCCTAAAACTTCTGACTATAACTTGGATAATTCTGTTAATTTTTGCATAGCTTTTAAAAGTTCATTATTAAATCGTATATATATTACTATATATACTTATGTATAATTTCATATATCTTACTTATAGTCATAAATTCTATTTTATATTTCCATTTAGTATTATGTCATAGACATTTTTCTTGCTATCTAGTCAGCAATATTAGGATATTTATGTAGGGCACCAGTAATACGGAGATAAATCAGGAGCTGATTTAGCTGAAGGAATGAAGCCAGGAAATGTTACAGAAAAATATAAAGTTCATTTTTGCCTGGGAAATATTATGATAGCATAGCACAAGTAACCACTTTGAACTGGTGATTGATGATGTGACTATAGGAGTGAATGCCTGCTTTTAGCATCAGTAATACTTATTTACTAAGCAAAATAAATAACTGAGCCAATTGAGAGAGACTCTTTTCCTCTTAAGGTGGTTTTAACAGTAATACTGTATGTTATCTTAATTTATATGATTAGGTGAGACTTGAATTTACTCCTTTAGGGCGCCTGGGTGGCTCAGTTGGTTAAGCGAATTTACTCCTTTAAATTACTTTTATAGAATAAACATTTTTGGTTTATATTATGAAAGTCATTAAGTCAATATTTATAATTGCCTTTTAGTAAATTTTAACATTTCGTTCTTTATTCCTTTTCTTGTCTCCAAGTAAATGATATAAAATGTTTTCTTATAGAAAATTTCAAGGGCGCCACCTACAGTTTACAGAAGTGTTGATGTTCCTTCAATTCCTTCTTGTGGATGGTCATGTGGTTATGATATTAATGAGGATGGCAGTATTATAAAACATTCTCCACCTGCTAGTGACAGTACACTAGGTCCGGCATACTATAAACCTCAGTTTGTAAGTATATTGTATTTTCTGTTGACAGTTGGAAGATTATTTTGATTATGGGTGTTTTAATTAATGTAATACCAACTGTAGTGATAAATAGACCCCCAAATCTCAGTGGCTTAATACAACAGAAGTTCTTTTTTTCCTCATTCATATGGGTATTCCTTGTTGATAAGAGACTTTCCTCTGTGTAGAGATCCAGGGACACAGGCGTAGTCCATTCATGTTACTATCATCATCGAAGGGCTTCAGTTCATCTGTATCCAGCTGGCAAAGGGGAAAGAGGATGGAGGACTGCTAGGGGGAGGATTTTGTGGCCAAATCTGGGTGTTAAGCTTAATCACCTAGACACACGTAAGGGCCGAGGACGCTGGGAAATATAGTCTAACTACATCTAAGATGAAGAGGAAAAAGGTTTCACTTACTAGAAGTCTCTGCTACGATGTATAATCCTAATTAATACACAGATATTCTTTCCCTGAATTTGGAAGGGAAAAGAACATTTTTAATAAAGGAATTTGAATCTGATAATGTAAGCATTATTTATTTCACAAATGTTTATTAAAAAAGATAAGGAACTTCTCTTTAGTTAAAATATCAAACATATTATAGCAGATCCATCTCATGCAGCTTTTGGGGTTCAAACCTGACCAAAACTGAGCCAAAATTTCATCCAGCCAATTGAAATATATGAATTATCCATGAATATGGATGATTTGTCTGGTTTTACTTAATTACAAGACTGAAGTACATAGTGCTTTGAACTTATATATATATATATATATTTAAAGATTTTATTTATTTATTTGAGACAGAGAGAATGAGAGACAGAGAGCATGAGAGGGAGGAGGGTCAGAGGGAGAAGCAGACTCCCCGCCGAGCAGGGAGCCCGATGCGGGACTCGATCCTGGGACTCCAGGATCATGACCTGAGCCGAAGGCAGTCGCTCAACCAACTGAGCCACCCAGGCGCCCTGAACTTATATTTTTATACTTTTATGAGATCTGGAAGAGGTAATCTGCATGAGGAAAATGGCCAAAATTAAGCATGGACTTAAGGAGAGGCTGAAGAGAGACGAACTTTGGGCAGAGAATAGGTATTCTCAGATTTGGCTTGACCTTCACTCTCAGTACCCTATAAATTTTTGTTTGTACATGTCTCCATCTTTGGGCTTAGGCCCAAATATCTTTAGAAACCATTTGGTTTGTGGCTATACTAGGGCATTTTGAGGTCTTAGATCCTTTGGATTGTTAAAAGTTTTAAAAAATATATATCTACTGTAATTTATATAATTATACATAGAATAGTACAAACATCATAACAGATACCCATGAATGTAAACTGGTGCAGCCACTGTGGGGGTGCCTGGGTGGCTCAGTCAGTTAAGCGTCTGCCTTTGGCTCAGGTCATGATCCCAGGGTCCTGGGATCGAGTCCCACATTGGACTCCCTGCTCAGTGGGGAGTCTGCTTCTCCCTCTGCCTCTCCCCCGGCTTGTGCTCTCTCTCTTGCTTGCTTGCTCACTCTCTCTCTCAAATAAATAAATAAAATATTAATAACAACACAACAAAAAACTGGTGCAGGCACTGTGGAAAAGAGTATGGAGTCTCCCCATAAAGTTAAAAATAGAACCACCCTGTGATCCAGTAATTGCAGTACTGGGTATTTGCCCAAAAGTTACAAAACACTAATTCAAAGGACTACATGTACCCTTATGTTTATGGCAGCATTATTTACAGTAGCCAAATTATGGAAGCAGCCCAAGTGTCCTTTGATAGATGAATGGATAAAGAAGATGTGATATATATATGCACATATATATGCATATATAAATGTGCAATAGAATATTACTCAGCTATAAAAAAGAATGAAATCTTGCCATTTATGACCATATGGATGGATCTAGAGAGTATAATGCTAAGCAAAATAAGTCAGAGAAAGACAAATACCATATGATTTCACTCATATGTAGGAATTTAAGAAACAAAAAATGAGCAAAGGAAAAAATAAGAGAAAGGAAGATAAACCAAGAAACAGACTCTTAACTGTAGAGAACAAACTGGTGGTTACCAGAGGGGAGGACAATGGGGGGATGGGTGAAATAGGCAATAGAAATTAAGGAGCGAACTTGTCATGATGAGCACTGGGTGATGTATGGAATTGTTGAATCACTGTATTGTACACCTGAAACTCTTAACACAGTATGTTACCTATACTGGAATTAAAATAAAAAAAACAAACAAACAGATATCCATGGACCTACCATCACATATAGCACAGTAAAAATTTGTCACACTTGAATTAGCTGTGTTTTAAAATATATTATTAAAATTGTTACCTTCCCAAGTTTCCCTCCTTCCGTTCTTTTCCCTTTGCCAAAGTAAACACTAAATCTTTATTACATACATGAATAACAATATATATTGTGGTATGATTTTAAAAATTTTAAGTAAATGGTATCATCTGGTATTTAGGTTGCTTGCTATTTCACTTAATGTTATATTTTCTAGATTTAGCCATATAGTTATATTAGATCTAATTCATTCATTGTTCCCGGTTAGTACTTTTCTTTTTTTAAAATAATTTTAAATTTTAAAATAATTTCAGACTGGTAGAAAAGTTACAAGAATAATACAAAGACTTCCCATATAACTCGGTCAGAATCTGCAGTTAGCATTTTATCACATTTACTTTATCATTTTTTCTTCCTATGTATTTTTATATCATTTTTATAAAGGAATTCGAGAGTGTATTTCAGACATGATGACCCTTTACCCTTAAATATTTAAATATAAATTTCCTAGAGAATAACACATTCTCTTTTACCATAGTGCAATTATCAAAATCAGGAAATTTTTACTGACATAATACTAATATCTAATCTACAGATATTTAAAAAATGCTAATGATCTCAATGATATCTTAAAAAAAATTTTTGTTCTGGAGTGAATCTGGTATTACATTTTACAATTACTTGTCCCTTCAGATTCCTTTAATTTGGGACACCTGGGTGGCTCAGTCAGTTAAGTGTCTGCCTTTGGCTCAGGTCATGATCCCAGGGTCCTGGAATCGAGCCCCACAATGGGCTCCCTGCTCAAGAGGGAGCCTGCTTCTCCCTCTGCCACTTCCCCTGCTTGTGCTCACTCTCTTTCTCTCTGTCAAATAAATAAAATCTTAAAAAAAAAAAAAAGATTCCCTTAATTTGGAACGGTTCTTTAGTCTTTCTTTTTCTTTTGTAACCTTGACTTTTTGAAGAGTATAGCCTAGTTACTTTGTAGAGTATTTCTTAATTTTGGGTTTGTGTATATTTTATCATGATTAGAGTAAGTTTATATTTTTTGGCAGGAATACTCCAGAAATGATATGTCCTTCTCAGTGCATCACATAAAGAGGCACAGGATTATCTGCTTATCTAATGATTGGTGATGTTAACTTGAGGTGGTATCTTCCAGTTTTATCTACTGTAAAATTACTGTTTTTAAAAAATTTATAAATATTTTGTGGGAGTTACTTTAAGAATAAGTAGATATCTTTTTCTTCATCAAACTTACTAGTTTAATATCCTTTCATGATGCCTGATTCAATTTTACTGTGATCTTTATCAAGTGGTGGTTTTATGACGCCATCTTTCCTTTAACATTTATTTGTTGGCACTTTAAAGAAGAGCTTTCCTTATCTTTCTTCCCATTTATATCAGCATGGATTCATGAATTCCTCTTTTACTCAAAAAGTTACCATTTATTACTCATTATGTATTCTGAAGTTTAAATTACCTCAGATTTGATCCTTGGGAGTCCTTTTAAGCTGTGTCTAGTGTCTTTTTGACATGTCCTCATCAATCTTTGAGCATTTCTTTACCTTCTGGCACAGTAAGATGTTCCAGGTTCACCAAATTTTTTTTCACTGTCCCAGCCTTGGAAGCAGACATTTCTTTTTTTTTTTTTTTTAAAGATTTTATTTATTTGACAGAGAGAGACACAGCGAGAGAGGGAACACAAGTAGGGGGAGTGGGAGAGGGAGAAGCAGGCTTCCCGCAGAGCAGGGAGCCCGATGCGGGGCTTGATCCCAGGACCCCGGGATCATGACCTGAGCCGAAGGCAGACGCTTAACGGCTGAGCCACCCAGGTGCCCCAGAAGCAGACATTTCTTTAAGGAGCCCTACTTCCATTTAATGGAGAATGGTATTTCAAAACGAGATCAGTATACTACGTACATCCGTTGCTACTGGGGTGTCATTGCTTCAGGCTATCAATGGGCAGAATTAGAAATCCATACTTATTTCTTATCTATCTATTAAAAACTTTGAGTTTATGCTGATACCTGATTTTGACAATTATGTTGTGGTTATAAAAGAGAGTATCTTGTTCTTAAGAAATTCCAATCCAGTACCACAGGTTTGTTCTAGTCTTTCCTTTTCCATGAGAAACTTATTATTCCATTATTCTCAATATATTTACTTAACTTGCTTAGTCCTGTAAAACACAGAAAGGAATTTCATTGCTAATCCAGCCCTACAAAAACCAGACTTGACAAAGTACAAAGCTCTTACCTATAGGTGGTCTTGAGGTTCTACATTGGAAGTGTAGGCTAAGGTAGACTTATAAACTGCCTACTTGAACATTGAAGGTGTGCCCTAATAAATGCACAGAGCACCTCTGCAAAGGCTGGAGACTTATTAGTTCAAGGCATTTAAGGAAATGCCTTGTCCAACGTTTGTACAACCATTACCTGACCACTTAGCAAACCAGGCTATGACTTCAGTAGACACATATGACAAAGAATACAGAATCTAGAGATAGTCCAGGAAAATCACTAACAAAACAAGCACCAACAAACCCTTAGGTGGTGGGGGGAGATTCTGATTTTCAGATTTGCCACATTATATTATCTAAAATGTGTAATTTTCAACAAAAAAAATTATGAGAAATGTAAAGAACAAAAAAATGTGGCCCATATATAGGAAAAGCAACCAATAGAAACTGTTCTTGAAGAAGCCAGTATGTTGGACTT